TCAATTTTGATTCTATTAAGCTTTTTTTCTATCAATGAGAATAATAAAATTTCACTGAGTCATAACTCATAAGGCTAAAAAATTAATTCTAAATGCCTCAAAAGTTGTTATTTTTATCAYTGAATTAAAAAAAATTTAAGCGTAATTCAWTGAACGTTTTTAGCAGCTCAAAATTTTAAATTCTGATGTAATTGAATATTTAGGCATAATATAATGATTAGATTATAATTTGAAAGTGTATAGTCAACATTGTTAACTAACTTTTATAATTTTTAGCACATTATATAGTTGTCTAAATAAATTAACTAATTTTGAGCTATTTATATAAACATTTAAAATTTATAGTTTTATAAGTCATATTGTAAATCTTTAACCAAAATATCTATTAATATCATATAATAATTGTTTTTATAAACATTTTAAATTTCAATGAAATTAAATAAATTATAATGATGTTATTTTATTTTAAGTATAATTTAACAGATATTATTATATTTTATCATTTTATATGCAAATGCAATATTTTCAGCAAAAATCAATTTAACCAACTGTATAAAAATTTAAAATATAGGCTTACAATTGTCTTTGGTCAGAATTTTTTTTTTTTGTATTCAAATTAAACACAATCATTATAGTGAATCACTCATTTTGTTGTTCAATCATCTTTGAATTACAACAAAATAACAAAAATTACATTTTGTTTAGTAAGTTATTTCATTGAAATATCTATGAAAAAATTGTGTATGTGTTTTTGAGATTTTAAGATTTTTGTAAGAAAAACTTATAAGAAACCTTGTGGCTTGTATAAAATTTCATTTAATCTGCTCATAAACTAAAAAAACAATACTCCATTCCAAAAGATAATACATATTTTTTTTATTWTTAAAATAGAATATTAACAATCTGTAACATATGCAYAATGAGCAAATAGGATTTCTTTTTTTTAGGAGGAAGGTTGTCCTATGACAGAACCCTCATWCRTCAATGGTGTCAGGGTTTATTAAATCCCAGCACCAACTCCTTTTTAACTGACGGGTGGGATTATTAGGTAGGTTCGCTTCACCCTTATCAGTTGGATGCAACTGTGGGAACAGTTTCAATTTTGAGGTCGTTGTGGAGTGAATTGTTAGAAACATAACAGGGTGCTGAAGTTAGTTAGTAAATGTATAGTGATTGATTGAAATGCTTGTATTGTTTTTGTTTGGGATGGTTTTGAGCAGCCCCAATACGGCCAATAAATAAATTTAGCGCAGYTTTTTTTTCATTTACACTAGTAASCTATTCCATGGTAGGAGATGCATGACGCTGACGGACAAAAACTGGTTGCCACCTGGTGCATTTTCTTTTGGAATGGAGTGTATGATATTATATGCCATTAATTTAATGATTAAAAATATAAAAATACAATCTTATAAAATAAGAAACAAAAATAAATAGTATTTGTTTTAAATTATTAAATGATTCATCAATAAAAATGACATTTTCATAACATATTTAATTATTAACTACTTTAATTTAAAAAATAGTAATAATAATAAATAAATATTGTATAAAATATAATTCAATCATGGAGTAAGTCTTTTAGGATCACGAGGAAACATTGATACTTTTCTTATGTTGTCCAAGCCCAAGTACAACATTACAACTCTCTCCAATCCAATTCCACCACCAGCATGAGGTGGACACCCATACCGGAAAGCGTCTATATAAGCTGCAATCTTCTCAATATCTAAACAAAAATATCAATGATAAACTAAATACAATTATTATTTATTCATGGGCCACCATGATTTTAGAGTAACATACCAACTTGATGATGTTTAGCTCTTTCTATTAAGTAATCAGAATCATGTATCCTCTGAGCGCCAGATAGAATTTCTTCACCTCTCATAAACATATCATAAGAATTAGAAGCAACCTATTTAGAATAGAAACATTAGATAAATTACAGAAATTTAAACAGCTAAAACATAATACAAATAATTACTTTTGAATCAGGATCTGGCATAGTGTAAAAGGGTCGTACAGCAAGAGGAAACTTATCCAAAATGTAGAAATCTGTATCATACTATATAATACAATTTAGTTATGAGTAAAAAAATAATAATATATATTTAATTCAGAAAATGATGATTATACCTTAGCTTTGACCAAACGTCCAAGTAATTTTTCATTTGGTGTTGACAAATCCTCTTCATCACCAATTTCAACTCCAGCCTCGCGAAGCATATTAACAGCCGTTGGAAATTCAAGTTTTAAAGGTGGATCCAAGAATTTAAATGGTTCAACTGGATATTGTTCACATATTGTTTTAATTTCAGATTGATAACTATAAAATTAAAATATATTTACATGCAAATTTAAAATGATATTAAAAAATATTGTGTTATTTTTTAAAAAGAAAATTAGGTACGTTTTGGCTATCATGACTACCAACAATTGGTTAAATTTAACCATTGATATGGACCTACTGTGCTCGCTTAAACAATTTAAGTTGAAGCATTCCTCAATTTCCTATAATGTAAGACCCTCATAGATCAATCATAGTGTAACTTATTTTTAATTCTAAAACTATCCAAGGTAGTTTTACATATCTAATAATTCAAGGGATGTTTTTTTATTTAAATTTTCCGAGTAAGTTTATATGTAATGTGGTTGGATAATTGAAAATTACTAATCATTGCAGACTTGATTCAAAAATGAACAATTAAGTACAATTTCTATTCTATTTCTTTTTTGAATTTTTGAAAAATAAAGAAATATGAAACAATTGAATCACTTATTTTATAATTATGTATTAAGCATTTAAGCTAACTAAACAAAACTGTATATCACCTTTAAAAAATAAAAAATTTATTTTTATTAATTAATTWATTTTATTTTTATACCATTAGTAAATATTATTTTATCTATAAAAAATAGTTTAAGTCCAAGATTAAAAATTATTTGAATTTTCTTTTCTAGTTTGATATTTAAGAATTTAGGTATAAATATCTGTCCGTTCTGTATTCAGTATTTACCCAAAATTTATAATACACCGACACTGTAAATTATAAACATCAATAAATAATTATACTGGGAGTACATTATACTGGTATTAGCCTAGAATGTATTATACATTTTATGTTGCTAATTATTTGTGTAATTTTAATCATATATTTTTCTATTAATGAGTATTWATTACTTATTTAAAATTAATTATATTATATGTACAAATGTATTTACTTGTCACGTAATTCTTTAAATATGTTGGTAAAAAGTGAACCAATAACATCAACTACTTCATGATAATGATACTTAAAAGCCATTTCTAAATCTAAGCCAACAAATTCAGTCAAATGTCTATATGTATTGCTATCTTCTGCTCTAAAAACTAAAGTGAAAAAATATTAGGTAGTGTATGCTATTAAAATATAAAATTAACACATACATAATTTATGGTGGTGATAATAAAAGATAGTTTACCTGCGCCAATTGTGAATACTCTATCAAAGTCACCAGCAATTGCCATTTGCTTATACAACTGAGGTGATTGAGCAAGATATGCAGAGCCTTTGAAATATGATATTGTGAAAACATTTGCTCCACCTTCACTTGCAGCATTTATCATTTTTGGAGTATGAATTTCAACAAAACCCTGTATAAACAAAATATTTAAAAATTCTAATACAAAAAAATATTAAGAGGCTTATCTGCAAATCAAAAATTAATGCATTCCATATAAAAATAAATGTTTATAATAATTAATAATATGATAAAAAAATAATCTTGCATCAAAAAGTTTATAACAAAACTTAACTACATTTAAAAATATGTGTTTAAATATATTCTAAATTCAATTTTCGAATTTGGTTTATTATAAATGAATTATCATTACAGCACAGTATATAATTATTTAATCTAAAGTAATTTTAGGCTTTAATAAATAAGAATACTATTTTTAAATGAATAAAATTATAAAACTTATTTACTTTTGCAGTGAGTAAATCTCGAAAGACTTTACAAACACCAGCTTCAAGGCGGAAAATAGCTTGATTTGCAGGGGTACGTAAATCAATTACTCTATTATCTAGCCTTGTATCTTGGTTCACTTTAATATTCAAACCTTGATCCTAAAAAAATACATTATTTATTATATTAATAATAATATTTATTTATTTATTAATAATATGTTTATAAATTCTAAACATTATTACATATACTTTTTATGCAAATTTAGACAGATAGTGTATTTCAAATAAAGATTTAAAAAAAAATGAAAATATATGTTAGTAAATATAACTTTTAATTGGATATGAAAGGTTATAGTATAGACATATTATAGATAAAATGTAGATAATAATAATAATAATAATAATAACAATAATACAACATATTATATATATATATATTATATTATACTAAGAAACTAATAAAGAAAATCGTACATAGAAAAAAAATGGTAAACATAGGTGAAAAATGTATAAGGTCTATACAGTGATAGCAGACAAATTATTTAAGTACTATAAAAAAATCATCATTAAATGCAAATTATTTATATTTTATAAATGTAAATGTACATAATATTTTACCTCGTCATCCCCTTTAACTGGCCTAGATGCATCTTCAATAAGTAAAGGAAGTTGATTAGCAGACTGACTAACAACCCACAATTCTTCAATATGTAATTCAACATCTTGTTGTGAGCATGATTCRATTTTAGAAGGTGTTCTTGTAACTTTACCTTTAATGTCTACTATAGATTCCTTGTTAATACTACAAATCAAAATAAATGAATAATAACTGTTTTTATTAAATAATTAATATTTGTTCTTCCTTACTTGGAACAAAACTTTACAAATTGTTTACTAATAGTATCAGATACAACAGCTAATACTTGAATAGACCATTGCTGCTGTCTGACAACCATAAAACATTGTTTACCTAAAATTAAACAATGTTAATATGTATAAAAATTAATATTATCTTTTTTTGTTTAATTGCCTTTGGCACGACTAGTGTGAAGTCTTGCACGTATCCAAACACTATTATCAGCTAAAATAGTCATGATGTTTTTTACATTCACAAATACTCGATCAGATACAGAATTTTTTGAACTTTGAATCATTTTTAAGACTCCGTACTTTCCAATAGAGATGTCTTCACTAGATTCCTGGTCATTAATATTTGCTTTCTATTTAAAATAAATAAAAATGTATAAGATTTAAATTTATCTTTGAATCTATCAAAATTTAAAAGTAATCTAATTCATTTAAATATTTAATATAGATCACCCATAMAAATTAATCATTATTCAATAATAATTTAACTACTTATGTGAAAGATAATTTTAATTATTATTGAAAAAGTAAAAAAATGAATACAAATATGTCGTTTACTTACATTCATTGTTTTAAATTGTTCCTTCTTCATAGCTTTTGCTGCAAGTTTTTCCTCTTTTTTCAATTGAGATTTTGATTTTACTTGTTCGCTAATAAATAATTTAAAATTAATATCAAAAATAATTACCTAATAAAAACCATAAAAATGTAAATCTTATTATTTAATTACATATACAAAATAAATATAATAATATATAGTTACCTAGTAGGTAAGTATTTTAGTTCCTAACTTAATATTTAAAAATACATCATTGTAAACAATACCATACTAAATACTAATAGGACTGGAGTAATAGAAAAAATCTGAAGATAACAAATAAACCACAAAAGTGGAAACAACAGACTTAACAAAACATACTTATTTTGTGAGATGTCATAAGCAAAGTTACTAAATAATAACATTTTTATCTAGTGATGTGTGATTTTTTTCAAATGTTTTACCCAAATTAAAAAGTTGTAATTATGAATAGTTATAGAATATTATGAATTTAAAAATATATAATAGGTAGGTACATTGATGATAAAATTATAAACAAAATAATTTACCCCTCAGACACTTCAGCAGCACCGCTTTTTGAAGTCATTTTTTAGCTGGTTTACACTGATGTAATATCTAAAAAAAAAAAGAATACCTTTATTACCTAATCGAATAACAATAATATAATATATCTATCGTAATAGAATTAACAAAACATAGCACTCTCGACCTTAAAATATACTGTAAGCGATTGCCAAATTTCCAAAACCACAGAAATACTTCACTACCAAAGTGGCTTTGATATTTATAAATTAGAAGTATTAGAACTTAAAGGATTACGCTGAATATGGCAGGCGGCAGCAAGAATATTCTGTAAAGGCATTATCAATTTTATCAACAGTAGATAATAAATATTTGTTTATCACAGATTTATACAGAGTGGTCCATTTAAATTTAAAACGTGTTTATACGTTAACACGTTTATTATTTCAAAAAATGTCATACTTTATGAAAATAATAATACATTATTATAACACAAATTAATGTATTATTAAAATGCCATTTTCAAACAATATTTCTGAAAAAAATAATTATAATTTTTATCGTTTTAGTAGGTGTCTTAAATTTTAACTGTTTCATATGACACTGTGCATATTCATTTCATATGCATATCCCAAAGCGGAATATTATTCCAAAAATTTCAATTTTAAATCTATAATGATCAAATTTCGAATTATTAGTTGTTCYTTAGTAAAATTATGAGCACTCAAAGTTAAAATGAGTGGAGCGATACAGATGTGCAGAGGCATGGGTGGATAGACCTACCGGGCATTTCCCGAGGGGCCCCCTTTCGTATTTTGGTAATGGGGCCTTTTAATATCATGTTTTATCTTTTTTTTTTTCATGTAGGGGCCCCTTTTTAAAATTTTCCGGTAGGCCAAAAATGGCCTATCCGCCCATGTACAGAGATACACAACAACATTGTCATTATAAAAACTAAAGACACCGAAAGAACGMTTAACACTATATTACCTTTACCTTTAACCTTACCCATCGGCGCATTCAAATTTTGAAAACTGATAATTTTAAGCACATAGGGTATAGATGCTCAAAGCCAAGTCTGGATTATTGCAGGTCATGGTGTGCCGTGGTCCCGAGTCCACAACCAATGTTAAACAATAATGGCCACTTGAGTAGTACGTTTCCAGGGTCAAAACTAATATCATATTATGTGAATCGTGGAACAATCACTTCACACACTCGGAAACTTGGTAAGACATAGTCATCCTCCATACAACAATATGAGTGCTAATTGGTAAAATATAAGTCGGAGCTTATAAGGCAAAGATTGCACTAAGTAGCGTGGGACGAACGATACAAAAATCGAAAACCATTTAAAAAAATATTAAGCTCTAAATATCATCCGAACGCATTAAAATCTCTAAGTTGAAGTTTTTAAAATTTTATCTCAAGTTGGAAGCTATAATATTAGGGAGATTGAGAATAATCGGTCCCCGGAAAATTTGTCCCCGGTTTAAAAGTTAAATACAAAATATTTTTTTAGCATAAAACCTTCTCATATAATATATTTGTAAATGGTATTATTATACCAATATATATTATATTGGTATCCTAATTTTACTTTTCCGTGGCTAGTTTTAAAACATTCTATTATYTCCATTATTACTAATAATTATGAACAATTTTGAAATTTCSCCCCCCCCCCCCAACTAAAATTCCTAGCTACGCCACTGATTATTAGTATACTAGTAAACCAACTAGACGGATGTACRTCGATTACTGATGAAGGTAGATTCGTCTGCAGTCAGTAATAAAAGATTAAGGTCCATGTCCCCGGCATCCCCACTTTGAGCTTTCGTAAAAAAAACCGGGACGATCGTTTGTACTCTGTTTGTACCGCAAAAATCGTCGTTTGCACCGAAAGCTGTAAAAAGTTACAAACGTTTTAAGTTGGGGGTGCTGGAGACATGCCAGCACCCCTACTTTGAGCTTTCGTAAAATAAGCCGAACCCATCGTTTGTACTCTGTTTGTACCGGTTTGTACYACAAAAATCGTCGTTTGTACCCRAAGCTGTAAAAAGTTAATGTTCGAACGCGGAACGCTGTGCGACAGCATAAACTTGCTCCGGACACCACAGCTGCGTGGTGGCGGAGATAAGTGTCGTCCAGCAAGTTCCCCCCTCCCATCGCCCGGCGACGTTATTGTCTGCTGCTGGCCGTGCCGCCAGCCAGCCCGGCGCCCGACAACTTAGTCTTTTTCTATAATATAAATTAAAATTATATTCTACTCCGAGTGGTCGATCCTGACACATAGTTGTGTCCGTTCGCCATCACGTGCCTTGTTTGTTTKTTTTTGTTGTTGGGCCACTGCCCACTGGCCGTCGTCGTCTGTCTGCGTACCTGGGGGTACATCCAGCAAATCCAGTGTACGATTTATTGTCATATCGCCATTTGTCAGCACCTTTGCCACTTACAACCATCAAGCATTAGTTGGCACGTTTCAATCAAGGTTTATTACTTTATTATCTTATATTATCTATGGACAAGTGCACCATCAGCTGAGTCTGCTTGGTGGTCTATGGTGCAGATGGTGATACACCAGTTCTCCCGGAGTGATAAGAGTTATTATGCGGCGGTTACCCTGTGGTTACCATGTGACCAACTTGAGGTGGTTTTGAACAGCAAGTCGAGGGATATTTTCGATCAGCGGAGCGGAGCGATGGCGCCGAGGAGCGTAGCGATGAGTGCCGCTAGCATGGCATCACTGACGTAACTTATTTCGTATTGGTGTCACTGCTAGATACCTGGTATCCCCCTTGGTAATAAAAATAAAAAGCTTTATCACATTTCTTATCACACTCCGGGAGAACAACTTATTACTAGTAGGACTCGTAATAATGTTGGCATCACTGGTTGAAATTTGTCTGTTAATTTGTATTTTTCAAATTAGCAGTTTACAGTTTTGCAATAACGCCAATAAGGCAATAACTAAAAACTAAAGTAGTAAAGTAGTAACTAATAACTATTAATTAATTATTTATTATACTCCTTTGACCTTTCTATATTTCTAACAATACTTAACTCATAACTGGTATTATAAAGTATAAAGATAAATTACTATTTAGTAATTATTATTTATCAAGTATTTAAATATTTTTATACAATAAACTATTGTCTAATACTGTAAATGATCATATTTAATATTTGTTATGACTGTCATTTTGGTTATCTAATATTACTAAATAACTATTGCTAAACGCTTAGTTTAAAATTTGTGTTTACTAGTTTTAAATTAAAAATAATAGATTTGAAATATCTGGACAAGATGAACGGAAATTTGTCTCAAATTAATGAGAGTTCTGTGAACACACCATCAAATGCTCGTCCTAGTGTGACTACTATTGATGTAAGTAATACGTGTTATAAA